CAAATAAGTCCAAAATATTTTAATTGCAATTGAGTTGATACCATGGCTAAACTCAATAGATCTGAATGAAGATCTGAATTGAAAAATACAGATAATAAAGTACATTGTTATACATAGACTTAACTTTGGTAAAACATTCAAATTTCTTAATAATATTATTACATAGAATAAGCTAATAATTACAGATTTACTACTTTAAAATCATATAACTTATAATAATATAATGTAGATATAATTTAAAAAAAAAAATTTTTTATTTGTAATTTTATTTGGAAAAAAAAAATATGTATGCATGCTGATTTAGCTTTCTAGACAATTTGTATCATTATAATTATTATTACTTATTATCATTGGTAATATTTATATGTTTTAAAATTTTATTTATCAGAATTATATTATAGCTCTAAAAATAGCAAAAGAATCAACATTGTTTATATTATAATATGTTTCAAGAAGTATCTATATTTTCATGATTTAACAAATGAGAAATTAACGTTGAATTTAGGTGTAAGTTATATTTCAGATTCTAGTCTAATCAGTTATAATTTTAAATTGACTTGATTGATTAAAATAATTATATTTAAATAACAGATATAGATTATATTAGTAATCAACTGCTTTACGCACAATTAAGGAAATTTTTGCCAATAATTATTGACTGTTGATTTCACATGTTGATACCATTATAAAAAAATATATTATATAATTTAAATTGTTTAAAAATTATTCTTGAAGATATATATTTGGCCCTACTTGCTTAAAATAATCTAAAATTTTAGACTGGAATCTTGAATGCATGTATACTAGTACATGTATATAATTTCCAGATTACGCCAACATTTGCTTTATTATGGATTCAGTAAAATAATGAATATGTATATGATAAGGTGTTATAAAACAATTATTATTTTGTTAAATGTGTCATACTTTAATGCTTCAAATTCAGATCTTCAATCATATTTTGTTAATAATTATTCTTCATAAAATATTAATTACTAAATATCAATAAAACATCTGAAAAATTAATTACGCATTATATGCCTTCAAAGATTATACAAAAATCAGAGAGTTTGTAATAAAAGAAATACATATTAATATTTAGATTATATCTGTTATTAAAATATTACGAATTTATATAAACGAAATTTATTCTTCTGATATCATTACATGTTGACAACTAAGTGTAAAAAACGTCAATTTGGACGGTACTGAATGTTAATAAACGTGCTACGTCAGCCTCTATAAATTGTGCTTTTTCTTTGATAAATCATTTCCCTGAACTGTATTATCACCCTTATATCTATAAAGATATTAATTTTATAACACTTAAAATAAACGATACATGTAAAAATGCACTTCTCTCTACATGAAAATATATAAAATTCCAAATAAGCCAAGAAAGTCTTTATTTACCACCCAATCATTTTACACTTGTGTATTACACATATGCCTTAATTTATTTTTTTTTTCCTTTAATGAAACGTAAGAATTGTTCATGAAATTTGTATCATTATCACTCAATGATGCTGATGCTGCGCTGCACCTGCAAAATACTTAGCGACATGGAAGTAACATTACGAAATGTGGCTCGATCATTAATGTGTTGAGTCGGCTCTGCTCCTAACACCTTAGCACAGTGGATCATTGTCTCGGAAACATATCTCATACGCATCTTACAAATTAGTAGCAATATGTTCAAAATTGAAGATGTATAGTTAGTATTGAATAAATGAAAGTCGCACATATCTTTGATAAATATGTAGTATAGAATTATACAAATTATATAGTGCAGCAGTAATGATTTGTAATCACTTGGCGCAACTTTCACTTATTATGCATACAAAATTGACTACAAATTATAGTTATATGATATTATTCTAAACATTCACTTTGTAGTTCAATTTTTAAAAATTATTGTTTAATGATGCTTCTGCAAAACTAATAGTGCATTTTTATATCACGTAGATAATACATAGCAATAGTTAATTAATAATAATCTATTCAAATATCAATATTAATATTCAGATATTATTTAGATGCAATTTCTTATTCTATCTTCCATTGCATAATCTGTGTATCAGCCTTAATACATGGGTATATTCATACTATATATTCATATATATTTAATTACTATCATTACAACATTTATTATTTGATATAAAAAATGGGGCCACAAAGCTACATGCTTTTGTATACAAATTTGCTGTAGTTAATTTTATTTTAGCAAATTTAATAAGGTAATCTTATATCAAAGTTAGTACGGTGCTTTTTTAATCTTTGGTTTTAAGTGTACACACAAAATTTTCAGTATATATATATTTGATATACATCTTTAAAGAATAATATAGATATTGTTTACATGAACCACAGACTATGGGTATAATTGTTATTAATAAACATTACAGAATGCTGTTTTCATACAAAAGTCATGAAATAGTATGCTATTAAACTTTATCTTGCACATATATACAGTGAAGTTAGATTATTAATAATTAAATATTTTGTCAATTTTGCATAAATTTACCTGAAATTTAACTGAACTCTATTGTTTCAATTGCTTACTGTTACGATCTTGAAATTTATATTTAAATAATGCTGTTAATGTATATGATATAATTTTATATAATTTTGTATAATTTTATTTTATTAATATAAAATATAATGTTATATGTATAAAATAACTGAAGTATGTATGAATCAGACAAAATAAAATATTTTGAAAAAATTTTAAGGCATATACAAAATATTGATTGAATTTGTTTAATTTATTAGGATGGGATAGTATTCTAATAAGCTTTACTTCAAGTTTTAACAAAAATCAATTGAACTACAATAGTGAATGATCGCTTTTCTACATCTGTGTTTTATGTGATGATTATTAAATCAAATATGGATTAATTGTGCCCATGTTTGTCCAATCTTTTTTTTCTTTTGACATGATGTTTTTCTTTCTCTTTTTTTTCCCATCGTATCAGTTTTTTTTTCTGTGGACATATCACAAGAATTTACTTAAATATCTTAGCTGCTTTTCAATGCAATGCATGATGATATATGTGTTTGTAAGTTTTTTGTGCGAATTGCTATTCAATTTTTCACAAAAACTTACAATTTGTAATATTATATCTCACATACACAAGGCCATATTCTATACTCTCAACCTACAAAATATTAGACAAAATAAATTTTCCTTGGCTATATTAAAATAAAAATGTAAAATGTAGAAAAATAAAGTAAAAAAAAAAAAAAAAAAAAAAAAAAAAAAAAAAATTAAAAAAATTAAGCGCGTTATTTCAAAATTTTATTTATATTGCATAATTTTTTAATAGTATAAATATTTATTATGGCCAAGTGTCCAATACTAATGTATCTAGATATCATATCCCATTACATCAAGTAAATAGATAACGTCTTCATTCTAGTTTTGTGTCATATATAAATGACAAAATTCGATCATATAGATACATCAGATTAGTAACTAAAAATTAAATTTATTGTTAAATAATAATTTTATCGTTTACAATGTATTAAGGAATGACCAGTTAGTTATGTTCTTCACATTAATATTTCTGTGTTGAAAAATATCATTAGTTATTCAAATGGTTTTATTTAAAATAAGAGTTAAGTTTTGATGTGTAATAAGTGAATGAAAAATTAAATAAAGAGAAAAATGCAAATCAGCCTTGACTTAAAATAATAATAATAATAATAATAATAATAATAATATATATTCAAAGATATAGTTTTGTATCGATTTTTAGTATTATTGTCAAATTATTATAATATAATATTTCTGGTCTTCCCTTGAGTTGTAACAAAATGTACGAAGTTTAGAAACTATTCAAAGAAAGGTTCTTGCTGTTATATACATTGATCTACATATATAGAAAGTTTTATATATATAGAAATTAATTTCAATTTGTTTCGATTTTTTTATATTAAGAACTTTTCTTTGAATAATAATTAAGGATGATAATGATACACTATTTAGAATAAAAACTTACCTTGACACTTGTAGGATAATGTTGATGTCGCTTAAAATGGTCAATATGGCATGTAATAACCACGCCTGTAACTCCTGCAAACGAAAATTAATAGAATTCATAAAAGAAATGAAGGTGAATTGCTCTACTAAAAAACTAGAAATATGTTAAAGAATTATTAACATATTCATTAAAAAATAGCAAAAATATAGTCAAAATTATTCATTACCTAGGTCGTCTTGTAGGTCTATATCCAAAATATGCGCTGCCACGAATAATTCCTCTAGCCATACCTCGATAGCCTCTTGCACCTCTGGGACCCCTGTAAATATGTAATGAAATGGAAATGTCAATATCTGAGAATTAAATAAATCTAAGTTATTATTTAATCTTAAATGAGTTTGTATTTTTATATGTTTGTATCTTAAATTATAGTACATAACCCAAAGTAAAATATTACCTATTTGTCATAGAGAAACCAGGTTTATTTGTTCTTTTAGGCATTACTTTAATTTGACGTCCTCTAAACATAGATTCATCCATTGCCATTGCAGTTTGTACAGAGTCGCGTTCGGCGAATTCAATATAAGCAAAGCCTTTCGGATGCCCATCAAATTTATTACATAAAATTGTTACTCTGTTGACACTGCCACAGCCATGAAAATGTTGCTCTAATTCTTCTGCCGTAGCAGCATAATCGACCTGCATACATAAGAGAAATCAGACATTCAGTTTTTGTTTTATCACAGCTGTAATAAGATGTTTTACAATACTATACTATAGATATCAGTAATCATAAATAAATTATATTATACTTACATTGCCAACATAAATAGATCGATTATCAACTTCCATTTTGTCTTCTAATGACATATTTAATGGACTTGCTAAAATAAAACACACAATAGAAGTAATTGTATTATTAAGAATAATTTTAAAATATACATTTTTGCTCTTACATGCTTCATACAGAAGATAAAATTGATAAACTTACTGATACCAGGTGGGCTACCCATATTCATCTGTTTATCCACCTCAGATTGAAGTTGTTTTAATTTTTCCGCTTCTTCCTCCATTTCTCTCACTCGTGCTTTAATCGCTTCCAACTCCTAAGTTATAACAATATGTTTTAAACTAAATAGTTTTGTTTAAAAAAAATTTTATTGTATTTATGTACTTTTGTGTACTATTATGGAAAGTAACTTACAGGATCATCAACATTTGCTTCACCTAAGTCACGTTTTGCACCGTCACATTGCATAATGGTATCTCCATCTTGACCATTTTCAAGACCATCAAGACCGTCAATATGGTCACTAGCTAAGAGATCTGATTCAGACATTTCTGAAATATGATAATAAATAAAAATTAATGTTATATTCAAATCAATGCTTAAAGCAATGAGCTACATACAAAATATAGATTTATGTCTATGTTATTATTTATAACCATTGTCTTATAACCATTTTTAAGTACTGGTATCAGTATCAGCTAATATAAATTTATATGCTGGACGTAATAATCTCTTTAATTTTATATGATTAGATTGAGTAGAGAGAAACAATATATGGCTCGTAAAACAAAAAAGACATAAAAACAAGTTATTTCTAAAATTACATGGATTTCAGTCTTCTGATCGAAAAACTAAATAAAAAAATTGCAGATGCTTTTAGGCTGAAATAAGCGTGACTGAAATAATTCAGATCAAAAGAAGCCGAGGAATAATTCAGCGAGCAATCTTCACATAAATTGTACCGAATTGATCTGATACGTCTATACTTCGGAATTATGGAGGGTTACATTATATCAATAAACAGCTGATATATATTATTATCAGACTCATGAGAAAAAATACGCAACATACGTGTATATTTGTAACTGAATGTCTGTAATATCCAAACAACGTTTCAAAGTGACTTGCACCGCTACTTCTGATCCACTCTCACGAAATCAGTAAATGAGACAAAACGAGGATGACGCGACCACTATACAGAGTGAATTCAAAGATTAATTTAATTTAAAGCCTGATTTCAACTTAGCGTTTGTCGCATTTTCATTTATCATGTCGTCGTATCCGATTGGTCAAACCTAAGATCTATTTTAGATTCACTATCCAATCCAGTATTGTGATTGGTTCACTGCTTCCACCATTTTGAGAACAGAAGCGCCGCATCTTGATAGATGTATATCATGGTTAGCAAGGAACGCGCCGCGGTCGCCATTTAAATCTTCCGTTGTTTCTTGCGATTAAAACCATATAAAAGTGAATTTTTTTTTTTTCACGAAAAAGTATGGTGAGTGTCCTTTGTAATATGCCGGTGATGTCTCGTAATGTATTAGAGTTCGAGCGCAATTGTTATTATACGATAATATCCATTCTAGGTATCGACCATCCGCTTCTGCGTGCTCGAAATTGATCAAGATTTTCTTCGTTTGTTTTTTCGGCGAGGAAAAGTACAATTGATGTACGATTATCGCCAGATTTGTATATCTAATCAAAATTTTGTAATTATTGTATTGGTCGCACGCATAAATATCATATTTGTACGAAATAATTTAGTCCGACAATGTACGACGGTATGAAGTTAGTAATGGTGTGAACTTGCTGAGTAGTGCGATAGATGATTTGATTTGCTGCAACTTTGATTTAAAAATTGTAATGTCATACTTTGATAGATGTCGCATCACAATCAGTGACACGGAATGCATTACGGTTAATTCAAATTTCTTGCTATTTTCCGCCATTGTGAATATCTGAAAGTAAATCTCGTGAAAAGATATCGCGAGTGTCTTTCGTAACGTGTTAAAGGTTCGTTGTAAAGCGTTAAATACTTTGTATATGATTGCTGTTATACGCGATTTTAGTTTCGACAACTCGCTTTTGCATGCCGCATTCGATTGAAACTTTCTTCATGTTTTTTCGACGAAGCAAAGTACAACTGATGCATGATCATCGCTAGGTACGTGTATGCTATCATTTTAATAATTAGTTATAATTATGTTTCGTTTTTGGAGGCAAGAAAAAGATTATTTATTAAAAAATTTAATTTTTATAAAAATATATTATATTAACCTGAAAATATCATTGAAAAAAGCATTAATTAACTAGAAAGTATTAGTTTTATGAGAGATATTGTTTAAAAAGTTCGTTATTCTCTGACCAGCATCTTCTTTGCAAATTTTTGATAAATATTGCAGCTCAGGGCGTCAATCATGTAATGTTTTCCTAGGAGCGGAAACGTGAAAAATGAAAACTTTAATGTGAATTCGGCAATTCTATTTCGTCGAATTCACGTGAAATGTTCACTTTTTACGTTTCCGCTCCTAGGAAGGAATTACATGATCGATGCCCAGGAAAGACTAATAGCGTTTTCGATTATACAGGATTTGAACGACCCAAGATTGGTTAATGACGTCATTGCAACCTCTCCACCAATGAAAGACTTGCATTTATAGTAAAATAGTGATTGATCAACCCTAGATCGTTCAAACCCCGTTTATTCGAAAACGCTATAAAATAGTTAATTAAATCAAATGTAGAGGGCATAAGAAAGAATGAGGTTATGTTTATCATGTAATCGTGTACAATTTGGTACAATTTCATTCTTTATTTAAGAAGAAAATAATTACATAGCCAATTAGTGACAGTCACATTCAATTTTTGAGTCATTCCATAGATTAATCTGTTATAATCACTGAACAAATGGAGAAGAAACCAAAAGTTATTGTGTTTGATTTAGGTATAACTAAAACACTATGTATAATATAGCTGTGTAAAGAATATTTATTTCTTATTGTAAAAATTATTGAGATATATGAAGATAATTTCTGGGTATAAATAGTAAATATGTTAAATTTTAGATTATACTTTATGGCCATTTTGGGTTGACACTCATGTAACCCCTCCATTTAGGAAAGGGTTTGTACTTTCTAAAGCAAAGAGTTATTTTGCTTAAATAAAAATTAGGTAGAAATAATGTAATATATTTTAATAATTTATTAGATTTAATAAAGGTAAAAAATTTTAGAGCGCAAAATAAAATAGTAGATGCACATGGTCATATTATACGACATTATACTGATGTACCTGATATATTAAAACGATTATCAGAAGAAGGATATGAACTTGGTATAGCATCACGTACATCAGAAATAAAGGGTGCTAAACAATTATTAGATTTATTTGACTGGAAAAAATATTTCAAATATATTGAAATATTTCCTGGTTGCAAAGTCACACATTTTTCTAAGTAAGTGTATAAAGTGTATAAAGTGTGTGAAAAATTAATTTTGTTATATGAACTAAGTAAGCAACTTAAAATTACAAGTTAATCAAATATAATACTTTCAGCATTCAAAAGAATTCTCAAGTTGAATATAAAGACATGGTTTTTTTCGATGATGAACATAGAAATATTGTGGATGTTGGTAAACTTGGGGTACATGCTGTATTTGTTGATAATGGAGTAACGCATCATGTTTTAGAAACAGCTTTACAATCATTTAACAAACAATAATTACTTAGATTTTATTTATATCAATAATTATAATACATTGTTTTGTAATATTTATAAAAGATTTATTAGCAAAGTTGTTTAGTGATATATAAATATTAATGAAAACAGAGTAATAATAAGAAGAAATATGTATTTTAAAATAGTACAAGTTGCTATAGGTTTGTTCAAAATTAAAATTTATATTAATTCATTCTTTGATAATATTGTACTGGATTTGTAATGACAGTATCAATATTGTCTTTGCACATAAGTTTTAGAAATGCAGTGCAACAAACTTCTGGATTTTTAGTAGATGTACTATTTATGAGTTTTTCTGTTTCATTTTTTGTTAATGAAATATGTAAAAGATTTATAAGTGTATCTGCATCAAAGTCTTTGAAAGGACAACCACCTTCATATGTTACTCCACTAATACCAGTCTGTAATAGTTTTTAAATTTTACATAAAAAAGAACTATTATTATTTTCATAATAAATTTTATATGTTGGGAAAGATTTTATGAAGTTTTTTACTTACACAAATTTGATTGCAGTTAGGTGTTTTATAATTTCTTTGAGATCCTTCTAAACCATACATGTGTCTGATGCTATATATAAATTTTTTTTCATTTGATTGCCAATCATGTGAACATATTGAAGTACATGTATGTGGCTTGCAATATTCTTGCCTCCAAAATGCGATTGAATCTTCCAATTTCATCCCAATTTCTTTTAGAAAAAGGCTATAGTACAAGCGTGCGTAGTGACTTAAACGATGTCTGTCTTTTAATATTGAGTGCAAATGTTGCATACATAAAGGAAACTTTTGTACTTCTGTGTCTATGTTATCAATAGTTATTTTTCCATGAGCAGTACCTTCCTTGAAGAGATAAGATTGTACTTTCTGATTTAAAATGTGCAATCTGAGATCATGTTTTATAATGTGATGGGCTTGCTTTTTCAAAACATTTACTTCATTAGTTATATAGTTACTGAATAATGATTGAAGCACTTGTTTCCAATTTGAACAATGTGTAATAACATTTCCATTATTAATGACTAGTTCTCTTGCTTTCACTAAATCTGGCACTATTTCAAACCTCACTGAAATATAAATTAAAAAACATTAGTTGTTATACAGCACATTTTTGATACATTTTACTCATACCTTTGTATTGAAATTTATTACAGTTATGACAATTTGACACCAGATGTTTAAGTACTAAAGGTTGCGAGTAGAATTTGCACAATTCAATCAAAGTCATATCAGTTGCATTCTTCTTATCTTTAAATATTTGCATTTTCCATATAATTTGTTTGAATAATCTATGTAGCTGTCTAGGTGATATATTATTTAATCTATGTCCAAATAATAATGATTCTTTAGTTATCCAATATGTGCATAAATCCGATGATGTACTAGCTAATAATCTTGAACAGAAAGTAACGAATAATTAGAAATATTGAACCTTACCACTATTAATTATAAATTTCTTTACTTTAGAGATTTTAGATACATGTTGTTTCTATGTATCATTAATTGATATTTGAATATTCAAGTCATATTAAGTTAATCATATTGAAGATTATAAATTGATGTACACTTACCGTAACATAAAATGTCCAGTTTTGTCATAAGTAGAGTTTTCTAATAAGTACTCAAAATTTCCATCAAATTCATTGGTAGATCCTTCATAAAGACGTCTTAAATAATCCAATCTAGTCAAGATACAGTCTTCCAAAATATAAAGTGGTACTTCTCCATTGGGTGGTACAATATAAAACATGTCCACATCTACATCAATCATATTAGATAACTCTAAAAATTGTATTATTTGTGAATATATACTTGTAAAAATGTTTAAACACTTTAAATTCAATTTTCTAAATGCTAGAATAATTATACATTTGGAGCAAGTCCATATATGAAACAACATTCTTACTTCTTTATTTTTTTTTTTAATTTAAGGATTATTTCGGTTTTGCAAGAATTGTTCTTTCATTTTATACATATTATATTGACACATTCTTATTCAATCCTCAATTTAAAGTCACTTATTCTTAACCTCACTCATGTTTTTGTACTTATTTTATGTATGATTTATATATAATATTTTTAAACTTTTCCTCTTTAAGTTTTTGATACTAAATAATCAAATTTGGAGTAATTGATAGATACATGTGTGTGTGTGTGTGACAATATCTAAACATTCATTCATATAAGAGCATCGACTGAATATTTTGAAGAGTTGCTATCTGTCGGTCGTATGGGATCTGCTATGGTGCTCTCTCTCGGCAAATAGTGTGGCTAGACAACAAAGTAGTAAACCGTTCATGGATGATAAGAAAGGAAATACGCGGGAATATACACGAAAATTGAAGAAAAAATATATGCCTTATTTGATAAGCAAAATTTTGTTATTTTTAAATTGCATGCGGGGGCGTTGCAATATAGTACGTAATATACGCTTCAGCGTAGCAAAATTTGGAGGGGCGCAAAATTGTAATAGACCCCGATAATTTTTGAAGTATGTAAAAACCGCGTGGTGGCATGGCGTTTTTTTTTTTGCTTAGCGCTTGGAGCGTCCGAACCACTTCCAGCGTAGGGGCATTTCTGACGGTCGCAACGCCTTCGATCACAATATAATATAACAAAGCTTTAGAGGCTTAGATGAATAATACAATTATATTCCTTAATTTATCTCAAGTAAACTTGAGTAAAATTTAAATTTAAAACTTATTACTCGCTACTTTTACTGAAGTAATATTGATTTTAAATTGGTTAAAGGATTATTAAAAAGACATTCACAAATGTCTCATGAAATTCTTATTTCAGTCTTTTGATCAGGCTTTTCTTAAATTGTGCTTCAAAAACAATTGATATTTATTAGATAAAATATTTTGTATGTTATTGTAGTATAAATGTATTTGTATATTTTACAGATAAACCTTCGCGCTTCAAATCGCCATAAAGTTTAATGTGCGTAGTAATTATTTTATAAATATTAATTATTTTTTAACACTAATCTACTTTATTTTTTATTTTACAGATCAACTTTGTGCGCGTAATCGGTGCTACAAAATATATTCGTTCCGTCGTATAGTATAACAAAATGCGCGTCGGGAGTGCCGTTAATGCCGAGAGTTATAGCGAATCTATAGATGAACGCACTTTTGCTGTATGACAAATATTGGGACACGATTTTTTTTGACTTTAGGCTTGGCTCGGGGGAGGGAAAGGTCGGTTTCAATCATAAAATCTCCACTACGGCAGGGCAATCTCGGTTCTACGTGCGGCGCGCTAGTTGTACAGATAGCCGGACTGTCGAAGGTAGTCGAGGACGGCTACCGGAGTTAGTCAAACGCTACCGATTGCTTTTCAGATGTCTTGTATCTAGTCGGTTGATTGGATGACTAATCACCTCATTTTCTTCGAGCTTATCTTTGCCTTCTGTTTTGGGAGAATCGTGCCCCAATTGGTAAATGTGGTCGTCTGAAACGCGGACGGAATTCGCGCGTAACGTCACAGCTTGGACAATTCGGTTCGATTCGCCTGTGATGTCGGGAGTGCCGTTTTAAGTATCGCGCGATTTTCGTATTCAGGTACGCATGCGAGCAATGCATGCGCCGCGAACGCGTGTGATTCAATGTGAGTGCTTCGAAGGACCACTGAGAGGAGGAGGAGGCTCAGGAGGAGCATCGGGCGCCGGCGGAGCAACTTTACGGTAAGCAATAATTCATTTATTGTTATTCGCAAATATTGCATATAAATATTATATAATGTAGCGGATAT